TGGCACCACCCTAAGGAATTCACAATGTTTGCTTGCTGGCTTGGGAAGTTTAGATTCAGTCTGGCGAGATTCTGTCTTGTAGGTGGGAGCTAATCAATGCACTAGAACTATATCTGTACTGTCTCGTGGAGTTCTTTGGGCTGAACCTGACAACCTGGGAAGGCTGAACCTGGTGAAGGTATTGGACTGGTACCAGGGAGACCCAAATTTTAGTCCATCCTCAACCACAGAAGCTCCCTGGGTAACTTTGGGCCAGCCTACCTCACAGGCTTGTTCTTCTAACAACAATTTGCAGAAGGATCGATGTACCTATTGAGATATCTGTAGGCAGGAAGATTTGAGAAGCCATTGTATAATGGTGAAGGTGCTGGACTAGCAGTGAGAAGAGCCAGGTTCAATTCCATCCTCACCCACAGATGTTCCTTGAGTCACTTTGGGCCAATTCTGGGAGTTGAAGTCCACTCATCTGACAACCCACTTGACAGAATTGCACAAAATTGATTATTGATTCATTATGTGCCATCAGGTCGTTTTCAACTCCTGGTGACCACATAGATAGATTTTCCCCATGACGATCTATCCCTAACCCAGTCTTTCAGGTCTTCCCTGTACAATAACATTGATATACTGTAAATCTAACAAATGCATAAATAAAGCTAATGGCCATATTGGCTGGAGTTGGTGAGAGATGTGACCCAGAACATCTGGATAGCATCAGCTAGGGAGAGGTGGCTGATAAAAGCAATTCTCTGTTCCAAATCCTTCTAACTTCAAATCACGAAGGGGACCATGAAGACTCAAGGTTTGTTCAGATTTATGCTAAATGAAACAGCAGGAGCTGTCCTTGATCTGATAGCATATTTTTAAAACAAAATTCAATGACATGCCCAATTGATTGTGTATCGAACACGGAACTACAACAAAATTAATGTGCGTGCTTTCCTGTACCCACTGAGTTCATCTCAGTGACCGTGTCTGCCGGGAATATATCCTTCTGAAGAGGTCAACTCTTCTCCATTACAGTTCAAAAAGGATGTGTAGGTTAACCACTACGTACCTAATGCTTTACCCCAACTCAGTGCCTTCTAAACCTGCTGAACTTCAATGCCCATATCTTATTGACCATGCTGGGTGAGGATTATGGTTGCAAAACTCCCACTAGACAGTATCGGGGCTGTCTGTAGCTTCTGTAGTTTCTGTTCTGGATTGCATGCCAATCCAGAACAGAAAAACAAGACTGATGCCCCGTTCAGACTTAAGGGACTAAGAACTGCTGCAAACAATTAACAGCACTTTTAACAAAGTATTTTTCAAAAGGCCAACAGGGATAAAAACAGAGAGGCAGCGTGTCTCCAAAAGAGGTGCTTCCCCATGGTCAAGTGAGAACATCTCCTACCTTCTCAGAAGGTACCACCACCTTCTCAGAGGTGTGGAAATGCTGCGCTGCCACGACATAGGAAACCACAGCCACACGTTCTTGTCAGCCCTACAAGGTAGATCAGATCAAGAGACAGACTCCGCGTAGATCTAAAACTACTTTGATTAGAACGGCTATAGTAACAGATCTTGCAAGCCTGAATGTGCCTCCCCGTCTTTCTCTTTTATCTTCATGTGAAGTAGGGGGGTGCCTACCCTTAAGCATTTTCCAAAATCTGTATCTTCATATGGGTTTAAGCCGTGGTTCTCTGCTTATTGGCTTGGTAACGGATCTTCCCTCTCTCGGTCAAGGCCATCCTCTCTAGAGTTCTTCATTTCTACCATCTCGCCTGCTGCTTTAACATCTTTCAAACTTCTCACAGCCTTTCTGACTTCCTTTCCATCCACTTTTTTCTCTTGGGTGCAAACATTGCTGGAATTCAGTTCAATTCCACTCTCCAACGTATCACTCTGATTCTGATACAAATCTCTAAAATACGCCTTCCAACAGTGCCTCACTTGTGCTTCACCCCAAATAATTTCATCGTTTTTAGTTTTAATTGCTGGGTGTTCTTTATTTAGTTCTTCTCACCCACTTCCAAAGCATTTGGTTTATTTCCATCAAAACTGCTTTGCATTTACTCTGCCTCTTTTAATCTTAACCATCCCATCCTCTGCTTGACTACATTCCTAGAAACCATCTTTTTCTCTCTGAACACATGATGCACTTCCGTTCTCATTATTTACAGCAACCATTTCTCTTGTATTAAATTGTTTTCTCATCCACAGCCTCTTTCACTTCATCACTCCACCAAGCATCCTTTTCCATCAGCATAACTCAGTGTTGTCCAAACTTGGCCACTTTAAGATGAGTGGACTTCAACTCCCACTCATCTTAAAGTGGCCAGGTTTGGACAACACTGGCATAACTCCACCCACTTCCATGGCACAAATTTCCTTCTTCTTAGGATGGGGGGGGGGGGGGG